TCATGCACAAATAATAATCCAAAGATCTTTTCTTAGCTTTTTTATGTTTTTAAGGATGGACATTTCTTTCTTTGGAAAAATGTCCTCTGAATTATCTTGGCAATGGCAACTGTCACCTTCTGGTTCCTCTGGTTATGGATGATATGCCAACTGCTGCTCAAAGACAATGTACTGGCATTGTGGTATCATGGTGATGCCAAGGTGTAAAGGGAGATAGATGGCCACAAAGCAGTCATAGGACATCGTCACTACCAGTCAAACTCTGTTGCTACAAAATAGAGAAAGAACGCCTGAGCAGTGCAGCCAAGAATGGAGATGAGTCGACTGCTAGTCAAGGAGTTTACAATGAATTTATGAAGCATGACTGAGATTTTGCACATATTCCCCTGAGGTAAGTTTCTTAGAGAAAAAAAAACTACATAGGAGAGTTAAGGTGTGGGGTAGTAACAAATGAAACAATGGTTAAAATATTCCCCATCAGGGCTGCCAGGTAAATCAGCAGAAATAACACAGCATGCAAGATGTGCATCTCTTGTATGTCATGTGACCGGGAATAAACCATTAAGCTAAGATTAAGCTCTCCTCTCTACCTTTATGTAGCATGCAATCTAATAGCTGCTTAAGTCATATTCTCAGATATGACTTACATGATAAATTGAATGATAAATACCATGAAAAATAATGGATTGGTGCTTTTGAGATTGCAAAACTAAGTTCTTTTAATGTCTGAGAGAAAAGGCCATGTGGAGGAAAGAGACAACCATTTAATGAAGGACCCCAGCAATGCTGACTTCACTACCTGCTCAGCTATTTCCATGGACTTCATTGGCTCCTTACCAGCATCATTGCCCTTTGTAGACACCTCCCCTTTCAGTTTCCTTTATGTTTTGGCTTCTTTTATTAGAATGAAATTTCCTGGAGTTGGCTGGATTGATTGTGTTTGTAACTCTAGATCTTTATTTTTTTCAAGTGATAATTTTTATGTTTTTTTTCAATTACATGCAATAAAATTTTAAGTTTAATATGCATTTTTATTTTATTTTTAATTTCTGAAATAAAACAAGTATTTCTATAATAGTACAATAAAAAAAATGGCTATTGTACATGAAGCTGCAAATCTACAATGTACAACTTGCTATTTCTTTCAAATATACAACAAAATTTTCATATATTTTTTCTTTTTTTCTTCCCTACCCCTCACCTCATATATGGTTACCTTTAGACACAAAAAAGTGAGTGTGTATGGATGTGTGTGTGTAATTATTTTATACATACTTCATTTTAACAGTTTTATCTCTGGATACAGATAGCATCTTTCTTCATATGCCCTTTATAGTTAATTTGGGTATTTACAATAGAAAAAAAAAACTTATTCATTCAAAGTCATTCTTAAAACAGTATTGTTGTTACTGTATACATTGTTCTCTTATTATGACCAAAGAGTATAGGTATTTTAATAACTCTTGGGCATAATGCCAGATAGTTCTCCAAAATGGTGAACCATTTGACAATTCTACAAACCATGAATTAGTTTCCCAATTTTTCCACATCTTCTTCAAGATTTGTCACTTTCCACTTCCATTATTTTAGCCAATCTGGTAGAGATGAAATGATATCTCAAGGTTGTTTTAATCTGTATTTTTCTAATCAATAATATTTAGAGTATTTTATATGACTATAAATTGTTTTGATTTTTTTCATTGGAAAACTGCTTCCTTTGACTATCAATTGTGGAATGACTTGTATTCTTAGAGATTTGACAAAGTTCTCATTGCTCTTTGTGAATTTCTCTCCATCTCATTTTTACTCGCTATGTTCCTTCTCAGCCTCTCTTTTTATCTTATCCCTGTTGCCTTATCTTTCCCCCTTACCCTCTTATTCCTTATTTTACCCAACCATTTAAAATTCTCTCCCTTAAATTCTCCTCCTACCCTCCCAATAGAATAAGATTTTTTTGAAAGTCCACTTCTCACCTTATCACCCGATTTTCTTGCTTCTCTAGAAGTTTATAAGTTTTCTAAACCTCTTCAGATGTATGCTTTGTTTCCTCTTCAACCCAGAAGAAAATAAGGTTCCAACATTATCAGTCCTCCACCCCCATCTATTTCTTCTGTCTTAATTTTTCCTTTAATGCCCCATTTTTACAAGATAATTGCTCCTTTTTGCCTTTTCATACCCAATTTTGTATTTTAGGATCACCCCATCATACAAAACTCAGCCACAACCTTTCTTTCAAATTAATTGTAATAATAATTTTTAGCATTTTAAAAAAATTTTTGTGTTGAAATCCCCTCACTCTCTCCATCACTCCTCAGCCACTCCTTGAAAAAGCAATTTGATATAAGTTACAAATGTACATTAATGCAATATTTATTTCCATATTAGCCATGTTGCAAAAGAAAGCCCAAAATTTTCCACAAAAAAAAAATGAAACAAAACAAGAGAAATAAAGGAAGTAAAAAATGTAGGGTTTAATCTGCATTTGTACTCTATCATTTCTAGCTCTGCAGGAAGACAGCACTTTTCCTCATAATTATTAGTCAATGAGTTGCTGAAAATAGTAAGTCATTCACACTGGATCATCTTACTAGATTACTATTACTGTGTACAATGTTCTGCTTCTGCTCACTTCACTTCGCAGCAGTTCATATAAGTTTTCACAGGTTTTTCTGAAACTATCCTGCTCAACACTTCTTATAGCACAATGCTGGGACAAAGAGAATACAAAGTTTTATAGCCCTTTGGACATAGCTCCAAATTACTCTTCAGCATGGTAAGACTAGTTCACAACTCCACCCACAGTGCATTAGTGTCCCAATGTTTCCATAACCACTTCAACATTTATCATTTTCCTTTTCTGTCATGTTAGTAAACCTGATAAATGTGAAATGATTCCTCAGAGTTGTTTTCTCTAATCAATAGTGACCATTTGCCAACTGGGGAATGACTTCTATTCTTATAAATTTGACTCATTTCTCTACAGATTTGAGAAATGAGGTCTTTAACAGCGACTCTTGCTGTAATTTTTTACCTAGTTTCCTGCTTTGCTTCTAATCATGGTGACATTGGCTTTGATTAAGCAATTTAAAAAAAATAAATAAAATTAAAATTATTCATTTAACATCCTATAATGCTCTCTACCTCATTTGCTCATAAATTATTTCCTTATCCATAGATCTGACAGGTAAAATATGCCATGCTTCCATAATTTGCTTACGATATCACCTTTTATATCTAGATCATGTACCCATTTTTACTTCATCTTGGTATATGACATGAGATGTTACTCTATACCTAGTTTCTTGCCAAATGCTGACCAATTTTTCCCAGGAATTTTTGTTAAAAAGTGAATTATTGTCTCAAAACCTGAGAATAATGTAGCCACTCCCATAGCTCACTGCTGGCTTTGCAGCATGCAGCCCACACTGCACTGCACTCCAGGCCTGACCATCACTCTAGTGAAACAGAAATTTCCTGCCAACTCCTAAGGTGTCTTGGGCTGGAAAATTCCCTTCCCTTGACCTTTTATCGGTTATGCCCTTCTAGAATTCAATTTTATGCATCATTTTAAAGTTGTTTGAAGGGGAAATTGGCAGGAGCTCAGGTGATTTCCTGCCTTTACTTTACTATCACTAGCTCTTTAGAAGGCAGAAAAGTGACCACTTGATAAATGCTTTTTCTGTGTCCAATAATTCATCCATCTATTTCTCTCTCTCTCTCTCTCTCTCTCTCTCTCTCTCTCTCTCTCTCTCTCTCTCTCTCTCTCTCTCTCTCTCTCCTCCAGCTTTTCATTTAGCAAATTTTCATTAATTGTCTCCTAAAAAAGAGATGCTATGCTAGGTGGTAAGTAAATACAAAGTTAAATAAAAGAAAGCTTCTGTTTTCAAGAAGCTTGAAGTTAATATACAGTACTTTATGAAACACTTGCTGTGTGCAAAAAAAAAACTGTGATAGGGATACAAAGGCAAAAATGAAAGTCTTTGCTATCAAAGAGTTAGCTAGGTCTTAATCAGTACAAATAAATAATTCCCTAAGGTGGTTGCAGTTTTCAATTTCACACCAAATATTCCCCTTGGTCTAGAGCCATATTTTACAGAATTGTAACATCAAACAGTTTCAATTGAAATGTATGTGATCACTTCAAGAGCATCACTGTTTTTATCAGTTGACCTAACTATATGCTATTAGAAAGGGAACAGAGAATCCCCCAGGAGAGATAAGGCACTTATAATTCTAGATCTAATAGAAGACAAAATGTAATAAGCACATAAAAAAGAGAAATAACGTATAAAAATAGGCATAATGAAGATTAATTCCAACTTGAGGGATGAGGAAAACTTTTGTGCAAAATTATAGCATCAAATTTGAAATGAAGGGACTATAATGGTCATCAAGCCCGACATCCTTATCTCACAAATAAGCAAACTTAAGAACAAAGAGTGTAAGTCCCACTCAGGGAACTAGATCATGCAAGTACATGTGTGTGTCACACATATACATATCTGTGCATATGTGTTTATGTATGCATATATACACACATATAAATTTGGAAGGATGAATACTTCTTCAACATGCAAAGAAGGAGAAGACCATTGCCATCAGGAAGATAAGTAGAAGCGAAACTGTGAAAGAGAGGAGGTAAAATTCATATTGTGGGGAGAAACAACTCAACCATACTGATGGCTGCTTTTGGTTAAGCTTATCTACTATTGTTCTGGGGGTCAATGAGTGCTCCATTTCTTTTTCAGTTGGCACTGTTGCCCAAAGACAAAGGGCTGGTGTTATGATAATGCAACTACGGACAATAACCACACGTAAGATAGGTCTATGTTACGTTCAATAAATGACAGGTTCATTCCATCCCATGTAACATTTCATCTAAGCAGCCATATTAATGGGAAGTATTGTTTTGGTACCATTTCTCCCCATATTAGGCTACCTCATGTATCACCTTGCTGATAGAACAGCCCAAATATAAGTTCTTAGGCTTTTTTATGTTTTCAAGGATGGGAGGAAAAAATCTTCTTGATCATCTTGCCCATGGCAGCTGTGACCTTCTGGTTCCTCAGGCTGTAGATGATAGGGTTCATCAGTGGAGGAAGTATTGTATAGGCCATTGCAATTAAAAGGTTTTCAATAGGTGAGGTGTCTGATGTGTCCTTGAGCACTGCAATCATTACAGAAATGAGAAACAACATGAGAATCACCAATTGAGGGGAGCAGGTTGAAATGGCCTTGTGCCGTCCTTCCATAGAGGAATCCTGAGCACACTGGAGAAGATGCGAGCATATGATACAATTAAAAAGGTAAAGCAGCATAGCAAAAGACATGAACTTGCTACCACTAATTCAAACTCAGTATGAAACACATCAGAGGCTGAGACTTTTAAGACATGAGGGATATCACAGAAAAACTGGTGGATCACCTTGGATCCTGAGAAGGGCAGGCGGAACAGGTTCCCAGTGTGTACAGCTGAATAAATAAGTCCACTGAGCCAAGAGCCAGCTGCTGCCCAGACACAACGTGCTGGCGTCATGACGATGCCATAGTGTAGGGGGTGGCAGATGGCCACGAACCGGTCATAGGACATGGCCACAAGCAAAGCAAACTCTGTTGCTGAAAAAACAAGAAAGAAGAAGATCTGAGCAGCGCAGTCAAGGAGGGACAGGGACTGAGTGCCAGACAAGGAATTCACAATGAATTTAGGAAGCGTGACTGAGATGGTGCAGATATCCAGGAGCGATAAGTTGCTCAGGAAAAAATACATGGGACAGTGAAGGTGTGGCTCAGTAATAATTGCAGCAATGGTGAGAAGATTTCCCATCAGGGCAGCCAGGTAAATCAGCAGGAACAGCAGAGTATGTAAGACCTGCAGCTCCCGCCTGCTGGAAAACTCCATGAGGAGGAATTCTGTGATGACTGAGAAGTTGCCCATCCCTGCTGGTGAGCTGTAATTTAACTAAAATCAAATAACACTATGAGTAGCAGAAGCAGTGGGGAAAAGAAGAATGAATTAAAGTACCTATTCAGATGAAACTTGAAAACTATTCTGTCCCATTAAACCTGACAAAAGAAAAGTCACACTCCTTCTTAAAGCCAAAACCAGATGAAGGCAGAGCTTGTAGTAGAAATGGTGAGCAGAAGATGCATTCAACAGTTCTGCACAGAGTTTTAAATACTTTGCTCTATAAAATGAGCAGAAGAAGTTATACATCATTAACATTAGGAACATGAATGGTACCACTGCAAAGGTAACAAAGAAGGCTATCACCACTAAGGATGGAAATGAATTTCATGGATGTGTGCACACACACACACATACATTTATATACACGTATACATACATGTATTTGTATATGCACATCCATAAATCTATAGAATTATAGCAATATGTTTATATTTATCTTTCTATAGATCTGGATGGAAAGAGAGAATGAGAGAAAGATGAGGATGAAGGAAAGATTAACACATTTATTGTATATTCCATAGTGTTGTTTTCAGAAAAGTGGTTTGACCTGGAAAGATGTATATGGTCTGATGCTGAGTGAAGTGAGCAGAACCAAGAGGACTTTCTACACAATAACAGCCATGTTATGCAATGACTAATATTGTTAAACTGAACCCTTCTCAGCATTACAAGGATCTAAGACATCTCCAGAGGCCTTGGGATGGAAAATGCTGTCCACATCCAAAGAAAGAACTATGGAAGTCGAATCACTATCACTTATTTTTACCTTTTGTTGAGTTTTGTTTCATCTTTCTGATGGTTCCTCCTATTGGTTTTAATTTTTACTTGCAACTTCACTAATGTGAAAATACGTTTCATGGGTATGTAAATGTAAAGCCTATATCAGATTGTGCGCTGTCTTCGGGAGGGTGGGGGGAAAGGAAGGGGGAGAAAAATTTTCAACTCAAAAGCATATGGAAGTGATTGTTGATAAATCAAAATAAATTAAGAAAATTTTTAAAAAAATAAAGTTGTTCTATACCCCTCCAAAAAAAAAGAAAAAAGAAAAGAAAAGTGGTTTGAAAATACTCAAACATTATATAAATTGAGTTAATTTTATTGATAGTATTATTCCACAGGATGGTAAATCAAGGCCCAAACTGATTCAGTGTTTTGTACAAAGTAACCAAGACCATTAGTAGTAAAGTCAGAACTTAAAACCAATTATTTGGACTCTAAATGCAGTTTCTCTCATTAAAAAAAAATAAAAATACAAAATGTAATGAAACCAGTAAAAAAAAGTCATGAAACAGATTACTCTGTTTGTTGTTAAGTCATTTTTCAGTTATGTCCAAGTCTCCATGAACCAAATTGGGTTTTTCCTGGCAAAGACTCTGAGCGGTTTTGCCATTTCCTTCTCCAGTTCATTTTAAACATGAGGAACTGAGGCAAAGGGGTTAAGTGACCGGCCCAGGGTCACAAAGACAGTAAGGATCTGAGGCAAGATTTCAACTCAAAAAATTGAGTCTTTCTGACTTCAGGCCCAGCACTCCATATAGTCCTACCCAGCTGATTGATCACTCTGTCCCCTATTCAAAGTACATCTATATCTATATCTATATCATCTATATCTATATCTATATCTATATCTATATCTATATCTATATCTATATCTATATCTATATCTATATCTATATCTATATCTATATCTATGTATGTATGTATGTGTATGTATATACACATATATGTAGGTATGTATAGGTATATATGTGTGTGCATATGTATATGTATGCATATGTGTATGCATATGTATATTTGTATGTGTGTATATATGTATGTATATATGTCTTAAGATTCATGTCATAGGCTTAAACTGAAAGGAATATGGTAAAGTAGAAATGTCATCTCTTCCAAAACGCTCATCGTATTTTGCTTGTTCCCTTTGCTCAACCCATCTCTGCAGTCCAGCCTTTTTTCACTTGCCAGTCATTATAAGAGCTCTGATTCTGAGTTTACAAGGAAGCAGTTGGTCAGGGATGCAGTGAAAGCAGACCTTAGGGGAAGTTTTATACGTCTAAATGTTTATATGAATAAAATAGAGAAAAAAGAGATCAATGAATTGGGCATGCAACTAAAAAAGGTAGATAAATAAGAAATTGAAAATCCTCAGTTAAATACCAAATTACAAATTCTGAAAACAAAATGAGAGATTAATAAAATTGAAATTAAGAAAACTATTGAACTAACAAATAAAACTAAGAGCTGGTTTTATAAAATAAAAATGATAAACCTTTGGTTAATTTGATTAAAAAAAGAAAGAAAAAAACCAAATTACTAGCATCAAAAATGAAAAGGGTGAATTCACCACCAATGAAGAGGAAATCAAAACAATAATTAGGAACTATTTTGCCCAACTGTATGCCAATAAATTTGAAAATCTTAGTAAAATGGATGAATATTTACAAAAATGTAAATTGCCCAGATTGATGGTAGAGGAAATAAAATACTTAAACAACCCCATTTCAGAAAAAGAAATTGAACAAGCCATCCATGAACTACATAAGAAAAAATATCCAGGGCCAGACAGATTTACAAGTGAATTCTATCAAACATTTAAAGAACAACTAATTCCAATACTATATAAACTATTTAGGAAAATAGATGAAGAAGGAGTCCTACTAAATTCTTTTTGTGACACAAATATGGTGCTGATACCTAAACCAGGAAGAGTCAAAACAGAGAAAGAAAATTGTAGACCAATTTCTCTAATGAATATAGATGCAAAATTTTTAAATAAAATATTAGCAGAAACCATAAGAATTTATTTTAAGATTAATGCACTATGACCAGGTAGGATTTATACCAGGAATGTACAGCTAGTTCAATATTGGGGAAACTACCAGTATAGTTGACCATATCAGCAACAAAACTAATATAAATCATATGGTTATCTCAATAGATGCAAAAAAAGTATTTGACAAATTAGAAACCCATTCCTATTAAAAATGCTAGAGAGCGTAGGAATAAATGGAATCTTCCTTAAAATGATAGCATCTATCAAAAACCATCAGCAAGTGTTATATGTAATAGAGATGAGCTAGAAGCCTTTCCAATAAGATTGGGGGTGAAACAAAGATGTCCTTTATCATCACTGTTATTCAATATTGTGCTAGAAATATTAGTTGTAGCAATTAGAGAAGAAAAGAAAATTGAAGGAATTAGAATAGCAAAGAAGAAGGAAAGCTATCACTCTTTGTAGATGATACGATGGTATATCTAGAGAATCCTAGAGAATCAAATAAAAAATTACTTGAAATAATAAACAAATTTAGAAAAGTTGCAGGATATAAAATAAACCAACACAAATCATCAGCATTTCTATATATTACTAACACAGATAAAGAAATTCCATTTAAAGTTACAGTAGACATTATAAAATATTTGGGAGTCAAAACAAAACCAGGAACTATATGAACACAATTACAAAACACTTTTCACACAAATAAAGTCACATCTAAATAATTGGAAAAATGTCAGTTGTTCATGGGTAGACTGAGCTAATATAATAAAAATGACAATGCTGCCTAAAGTAATTTACTTATTCAGTGCCATACCAATCAAACTACCAAAAAATTATTTTATGCAGCTAGAAAAAAAGCAACAAAATTCATCAGAAGAACAAAAAGTCCAGAATATCAAGGTAACTAATAAAAAGAAATGCAAGGGAAGATGGCCTAACTGTACCTAATCTTAAATTGCATTACAAAACAGCAATCATTAAAATTGCTTGGTACTGGGTAAGAAATAGAGTTGTGGAGGGGCAGCTGGTGGCACAGTGGATAGAGCACTGGCCCTGGATTCAGGAGCACATGAGTTCAAATCCAGCCTCAGACACATAACACTCGCTAGCTGTGTGACTGTGGGCAAGTTACTTAAATGTCCACTTTCCAGGCAGAAGAAGCTAGGAGATTTACTATGTTTTTCAATCCATTCAAAAGTGGCCTCCACCTGAAAGAGTTACTGAAGGTCATACACCTTCTTTGAAAACAGCTGGGGAATTGTTGAAACCCTCAGTGAAGTGCATCATCTCTCTTTCAGAATGTTTCTTTCACCTGTGGTCATAGGAGCAGAAATTCAAAACTGAAAGGAAGCTTAGAGTTCAATTATCAGGCCCTTCCTTTACAGAAGAAGAACAGAGACATGCAGTGACTGACTCTAGGTTCCCCTTAACAAAGTCAAGGTGGAATAACCATCTTCTGCTTCCCAATTCAGCACTCCCTTCATTGAATTTATTCAAAAGGCCAACCCCTCTTTGTTGCCACAGAGTTAAATTACAGATGAGGGGATGGCGGAATCTAACAGGTGAACTTAGAGCTGACACACAGATCCTGTGCCCTTCAGTTAACCTTACAGTACTCCATTATAAAGATTGAGCTACAGACAAAATGCAGCAAGGAATTGACCCTCTTGTCCAACTCTTCTTGTGGTCAGTAACACAAATGTACAATTAATTGAAAGTAGAACTGGGGTCTATCATCACAGATCAGAACAATGAATAGGACTCATGTACATAACACTTGAGATTCACAAAGTATGTTAGATATAACATCTCTGATGAGCTTCAGAATGAGTCTGGGAGCTACAAAGATAATACTATGCACATGTTACAGGCATGATAATGGCGGGTTCTGCGAGGCTGAGGCTTGCCCATAGTCAAGTCACAGTAAGTTAACAAGCCTTTAGTAAATGGCTACTATGTCCCAGACACTGTGGTAAGCACTGAGGTTACAAAAAAGGCAAAATACAACCCCTGACCTCTATGAACTTACAGGAAATGGAGAGGAGAAAGCAAGTAAATAAGCAGGTACAAATGGCATATACAGGGAGAATTGGAGATAATCACAGAGAGAAGCTCATAAGAGCCAGAAAAAGAATGTGGACTAAGGTCTTACTTAATTCTAATCCACCAGATTATCCACAGTGTGATGCCTCCATGAAAAAAGAATCACTTA